CCCAACATTAGCCTCCTTTAGCTTAGCGGAGGTGACGTGAAGTCATGTGACCGTGCTGTAGTTCCTTTATAGCCCAACATTAGCCACCTTTAGCTTAGCGGAGGTAACGTGAAGTCATGTGACCATGCTGTAGTTTCTTTATAGCCCAACATTATCCACCTTTAGCTTAGCGGAGGTGACGTGAAGTCATGTGACCGTGCTGTAGTTCCTTTATAGCCCAACATTAGCCACCTTTAGCTTAGCGGAGGTAACGTGAAGTCATGTGACCGTGCTGTAGTTTCTTTATAGCCCAACATTATCCACCTTTAGCTTAGCGGAGGTGATGTGAAGTCATGTGACCGTGCTGTAGTTCCTTTATAGCCCAACATTAGCCTCCTTTAGCTTAGCGGAGGTGATGTGAAGTCATGTGACCGTGCTGTAGTTCCTTTATAGCCCAACATTAGCCACCTTTAGTTTAGCGGTGGTGATGTGAAGTCATGTGACCGTGCTGTAGTTCCTTTATAGCCCAACATTAGCCTCCTTTAGCTTAGCGGAGGTGATGTGAAGTCATGTGACCGTGCTGTAGTTTCTTTATAGCCCAACATTATCCACCTTTAGCTTAGCGGTGGTGAAGTGAAGTCATGTGACCGTGCTGTAGTTCCTTTATAGCCCAACATTAGCCTCCTTTAGCTTAGCGGAGGTGATGTGAAGTCATGTGACCGTGCTGTAGTTCCTTTATAGCCCAACATTAGCCACCTTTAGTTTAGCGGAGGTGACGTGAAGTCATGTGACCGTGCTGTAGTTCCTTTATAGCCCAACATTAGCCACCTTTAGCTTAGCGGTGGTGACCGTACTGTAGTTCCTTTATAGCCCAACATTAGCCACCTTTAGCTTAGCGGTGGTGACGTGAAGTCATGTGACCGTGCTGTAGTTTCTTTATAGCCCAACATTATCCACCTTTAGCTTAGCGGAGGTGACGTGAAGTCATGTGACCGTGCTGTAGTTCCTTTATAGCCCAACATTAGCCACCTTTAGCTTAGCGGAGGTAACGTGAAGTCATGTGACCATGCTGTAGTTTCTTTATAGCCCAACATTATCCACCTTTAGCTTAGCGGAGGTGACGTGAAGTCATGTGACCGTGCTGTAGTTCCTTTATAGCCCAACATTAGCCACCTTTAGCTTAGCGGAGGTAACGTGAAGTCATGTGACCGTGCTGTAGTTTCTTTATAGCCCAACATTAGCCACCTTTAGCTTAGCGGAGGTGACGTGAAGTCATGTGACCGTGCTGTAGTTCCTTTTTTAGCCTAACGTTAGCTTTTTGCTTCTGGAGATTGCATTTACGCTTCAAAAATCATAAAGTGGAGTTAAAATGTGGAGATTATCCTGCTGAACAAAATGTTTAAGTATCATAAACGTCTTTGCACTGATCATATTTTTTTAGGTCTGCCTACAAACACACATCATCACTGCACCTCTCTATTAACGTTCTACTCTAAGTCTTATCTTTGCTGCATCTATTTACACTTTGTACTGTAGTTCTGCTTCTACTTGAACTTCTACTGCTGTTCTATGTAGAGGTGTGTGTTTATATATGTGTGTGTATGTGTGTGTGATCATGTACGTGTGTGTTTTGGGGTTTGATGACATCAGCACGAAACATCAGCGATTCATCAAAGGACGACAACAAAAACCCACCGTCTATTAATAGAAAGGAGAGAAAAAGTAGGACAAACAAATCGACGTCAACATGTCTCTACTCCTCCTTCCCTTCTTCTGAACCTTGTTCTCCTTCCCTTCTTCTGCACCTTGTTCTCCTTCCCTTCTTCTGAACCTTGTTCTCCTTCCCTTCTTCTGCACCTTGTTCTCCTTCCCTTCTTCTGAACCTGGTTCTCCTTCCCTTCTTCTGCACCTTGTTCTCCTTCCCTTCTTCTGCACCTTGTTCTCCTTCCCTTCTTCTGAACCTTGTTGTCCTTCTCTGCTCTGCTCCTGTTTTCATCGACCTCTCCTCATTTATCTGATTTCTTGGAACTCCTGTTTTATCTTCTTGTCGCCTCCTCTTCTTCTCTTCCAGATACACTCTCTCTCAGCTGTTTTATCTTTAATTAACAAACGTTTCCTCCTCTGAAGACTACCCTCAGACTTCAGACATCCTCACTGGGTGTTCATGTTCAATCCATATAGAGAGGCGAAGTCCCTCCCTTTCCTCCATGGGACCTTATTTCTGAAAAAGTATGCATTGAAGTCAATGAGGAGAGAAAGATTATCTTTTGATCCCGTTTGAATTGTGCCACGAATTACACATATGATGTTTGTCAATTTAAAAGATAATTTTGCAAGTTAAAAAAATTAAAAATGTGTCGTAAACTGTGAAGTAAGGCAAGGCACGTTTATTTATATAGCACCTTTCAACACAAGGCAATTCAAGGTGCTTTACAAAAATGAAAGACATTCAGAAAAAGGCATTTAAAAATAGTAAAAGATAATAAAATAAACATTAAAAGAAAAAATACATGAATAAAAAGTTACAGTGCATTAAGATATGAATAGTTCACACAGAAGTTCCACTTTACTGATGAACACAACGGTTCAGTTTCAATTAAAATTAAAAGCAGCGACAAAAAGATAAATCTTCAGCCTGGATTTAAAAGTAGTAAGAGTTGCAGCGGACCTGCAGGTTTCTGGGAGTTTGTTCCAGATATTTGGAGCATAAGTAACACTTTGTGTGAAACCGCTCAATGAACTACATCTCCTGTCTCGCACCACACACCCAGACGGCCGTCACGTTGAAACATTTCACTCCTTTCTCTCAGAATGAGGCGGAAAGTATTAAAAGAGGTGAAAATCACTCCAAGTCTGTTGAGAGCTGTACATACACACAAGGGGAGTTAGTCGGTTCCGTGAGAGCCAGCATGCGGGACCGGGACTCTGGGATTTGTAGTCTTTCTAGTTGCGTATTTTTCATAGTCTTATATTTCAACAGTTTTAAGACAAACTGTGACTTTTTTGACTTGGAAGTTATTATTTAAGATTGACAAACATCATATGTGTAATTCATGGCACAATTCAAACGGGATGGAAAGATAATCTTTCTCTCTCCATTGACTTCAATACATACTTTTTCTGAAATAAGGTCCCATGGACCGGAAGTAGATGGGCGGGACTTCGCCTCTCTATTAAAGTGGACTTCTTGTTCTTTACTTCCTGGCTGTCTTCCTTTCTGTTCCCCTTAGTGTTTACTTCCTGTCTGTCTTCTTCTGTTGGTTTATCTCACGTCCAGCGCTCTGTCTAGTAACCTCTTTCCTTCTCCTGCACTGTTTTTCTTTACCTTAATGGGGACAGTTTAGCCATCACAATTACAATATTTAGTTTGGTCTATTTGCAGACTCTACAAATATAAAAAAGAATATTCAAAAAGTAGTCCATGATGTTTTTTGATGGAGAAAACCAATGTGTTTGTCTGGCTACATCTTTCTGTGGATTGATATGACTGCACATAGTCCCTTGATCAGAGTGGCCTGTTATCAAGAAAAAATTGACCAATCAGAATTGAGTATTCAACTAAGCCTTCTAATAATAACTGGTATCCCTGCAGTGGGTTAAAGAGGGAGAGAGTAGCTGATATAGTTTCAGTTTCCAGGGAGAGATCTGGAGTTGAGTGTTGATACTCAGATACTCAGCGGTAGGTGGTGAGCTTCAGTGTTTGGGCAGAGACTCGCCCACCAGTCAGAATACTGTAATCTCACAGATGCAGGCAGGTCAGGCAAAAATAGTGGCGTGTAAAAGTGTAAAAATAAAAAACAAGTGGTACAACATGTGCGATGCCTCACAGCTGCTGACACACAAACTCTGAGTAACTCTCTCGCTAACACCGATACCTGCAGGCCGCGGCTGACTCCAGATCAGGGTTAGTGGTCCAGTCTGCCGCTCCCAAAAACACCAAACCTCCTGTCGATTGAAAGTTACTTTCCAGCTGACCTTTTCCTCTGATTCTCATTTATAATTTCAGAACTTTAATTAGCTGAACGGTTCCAGACAGACTGTGTTTAGCCTCAAACTTGACCCAAAATATTCCAGCTGGTTTGAGCTCAACGGTCACCTGCACACGGGAACTAACTCCCAACATTCTAAGTAGAAGGAGATGCTCTGCTCTGTAGTGCCTGTAAAGTCTAAAAGTTTGCTGTTGAATACAAGTAACATCAGTCCTTGTTCCTTCTTCATCTGCATTGTTAAACAACTTTAAAAGACAGATTCATCAATGGTTCATTTCAAAATGACTTGCTGACAAATTGTTCAGAAAACAAGGCCAAAACTGAAGCTCAAACCAATCTAGCACATAGGATTATTACAGAGGCCCAATTATGCTCATGTTCAGGTTTATATCAGTATGTAGTGTCTCTACTTTAAAGAGTCCTCTCCTGCTGATGTTCAGGTGTATATCAGTATGTAGTGTCTCTACTTTAAAGAGTCCTCTCCTGCTGATGTTCAGGTGTATATCAGTATGTAGTGTCTCTACTTTAGGAGAGGGGACACATGTTGATGTAGAAGAGACATGAAGAAGAGGGGACACATGTTGATGTAGAAGAGACATGGAGAAGAGGGGACACATGTTGATGTAGAAGAGACATGAAGAGAGGGGACACATGTTGATGTAGAAGAGACATGAAGAAGGAGGGACACATGTTGATGTAGAAGAGACATGAAGAAGAGGGACACATGTTGATGTAGAAGAGACATGAAGAAGAGGGGACACATGTTTGATGTAGAAGAGACATGAAGAAGAGGGGACACATGTTGATGTAGAAGAGACATGGAGAAGAGGGGACACATGTTGATGTAGAAGAGACATGAAGAGAGGGGACACATGTTGATGTAGAAGAGACATGAAGAAGAGGGGACACATGTTGATGTAGAAGAGACATGAAGAAGAGGGGACACATGTTGATGTAGAAGAGACATGAAGAAGAGGATTTTGCATAATAGGTGACCTTTAAGCTCAAAGCATTTAACCCTGTGTCTCTCTGTTGTCCACAGCGCCCCCTACAGTGCGCATCGTGCACTCAGGTAAGGCCTGTAACGTGGAGGAGGAGCGCTACAGTGAGCGAGTCTACACCATCAAAGAGGAGGAGACTCTGGAGCTGCAGTGTCTGGTGACTGGACACCCCCGACCACAGGTAACACACTGGGGCAACTGGGAGGAGCTGAACAACTGTCTTCATTGTGTATTTGCTGTGATGAAGCATGAACGAAGCGGCAGATGCCAGAAAAGCCAAAACAACTGCGTCATATTTAAACTGCTGTTACTGTCACACAGGTAAGACTGGTCTGTGTTGATCATAGACCGTCAATAAGAAGTGGACGTAGTCACAGTAACGTTGTTAGCTGCCATTTTGAATGGACGGTTAAAAGAGTAGAGTACGTTTTATTTGAGACTGTATTGTATGGAGACATTTTTTTCTCCAAAAACAGAAAAATGGGACATCAGCGTTACACATTGTTTTTTGTCTTTGATGAAAAAGAGGAAAAGATAAATGAACCACCAGAGAAATATGAAGAACTGACTGAAAGAAAACTGAAATGGCAAAAGAACATGAAGTGCACATTCAAACCCACTCACACACACTCCATCCCCATTGACTCTGCAGAGCACATACAGTAATGAAATCCCTGGCGGCGCGCTGTAAGTGCCAGAGCTCACGCTGAGATGAGCTGCTCGGGCCCTTTGTGTTCCGTAAATGAGAGTAATCACACAGAGAAGAAGAAGAAGAAGAAGAAGAAGAAGTAGAAATGCTCGAGGAAGACGAGTGCTTTCGCCGCCGCCTTGGAGCGAAAAAGGGAGAGATTTATTGCAAAAATATGAAAAAGAGAGCGAGAAAGAAATCAGTGAAAGAAAAAGTGGTGAAAAAATACAGAGAGTCTGAAATTTTTTCAGCTTTAGTCGTTCTCATTTACATTTATCAAGATTAAATAATAAATACTCAACATCCTCCTAATCTCTCTGCAGGAAAACTGAGAGAAATGAATCAGGAGAGGACTCTTTAAAGTAGAGACACTGCATACTGATATACACCTGACCATCAGCAGGAGAGGACTCTTTAAAGTAGAGACACTACATACTGATATACACCTGAACATCAGCAGGAGAGGACTCTTTAAAGAAGAGACACTGCATACTGATATACACCTGAACATCAGCAGGAGAGGACTCTTTAAAGTAGAGACACTACATACTGATATACACCTGAACATCAGCAGGAAGGACTCTTTAAAGTAGAGACACTACATACTGATATACACCTGAACATCAGCAGGAGAGGACTCTTTAAAGTAGAGACACTACATACTGATATACACCTGAACATCAGCAGGAGAGGACTCTTTAAAGTAGAGACACTACATACTGATATACACCTGAACATCAGCAGGAGAGGACTCTTAAAGTAGAGACACTACATACTGATATACACCTGAACATCAGCAGGAGAGCACTCTTTAAAGTAGAGACACTACATACTGATATACACCTGAACATCAGCAGGAGAGGACTCTTTAAAGTAGAGACACTACATACTGATATATACCTGAACATCAGCAGGAGAGGACTCTTTAAAGTAGAGACACTACATACTGATATACACCTGAACATCAGCAGGAGAGCACTCTTTAAAGTAGAGACACTACATACTGATATACACACCTGAACATCAGCAGGAGAGGACTCTTTAAAGTAGGAGACACTACTACTGATATACACCTGAACATCAGCAGGAGAGCACTCTTAAAGTAGAGACACTACCATACTGATATACACCTGAACATCAGCAGGAGAGGACTCTTTAAAGTAGAGACACTGCATACTGATATACACCTGAACATCAGCAGGAGAGGACTCTTTAAAGTAAGAGACACTACATACTGATATACACCTGAACATCAGCAGGAGAGGACTCTTTAAAGTAGAGACCACTACATATAACACCTGAACATCAGCAGGAGAGGACTCTTTAAAGTAGAGACACTACATACTGATATACACCTGAACATCAGCAGGAGAGGACTCTTTAAAGTAGAGACACTACATACTGATATACACCTGAACATCAGCAGGAGAGGACTCTTTAAAGTAGAGACACTACATACTGATATACACCTGAACATCAGCAGGAGAGACTCTTTAAAGTGAGAGACACTACATACTGATATACACCTGAACATCAGCAGGAGAGGACTCTTTTAAAGTAGAGACACTACATACTGATATACACCTGAACATCAGCAGGAGAGGACTCTTTAAAGTAGAGACACTACATACTGATATACACCTGAACATCAGCAGGAGAGGACTCTTTAAAGTAGAGACACTACATACTGATATACACACCTGAACATCAGCAGGAGAGGACTCTTTAAAGTAGAGCACTACATACTAATATACACCTGAACATCAGCAGGAGAGGGACTCTTTAAAGTAGAGACACTACATACTGATATACACCTGAACATCAGCAGGAGAGGGACTCTTTAAAGTAGAGGACACTACATACTGATATACACCTGAACATCAGCAGGAGAGGACTCTCTACAGTAGAGACACTACATACTGATATACACCTGAACATCAGCAGGAGAAGACTCTTAAAGTAGAGACACTACATACTGATATACACCTGAACATCAGCAGGAGAGGACTCTTTAAAGTAGAGACACTACATACTGATATACACCTGAACATCAGCAGGAGAGAACTCTTTAAAGTAGAGACACTACATACTGATATACACCTGAACATCAGCAGGAGAGGACTCTTTAAAGTAGAGACACTACATACTGATATACACCTGAACATCAGCAGGAGAAGACTCTTTAAAGTAGAGACACTACATACTGATATACACCTGAACATCAGCAGGAGAGGACTCTTTAAAGTAGAGACACTACATACTGATATACACCTGAACATCCGCAGGAGAGAACTCTTTAAAGTAGAGACACTACATACTGATATACACCTGAACATCAGCAGGAGAGGACTCTTTAAAGTAGAGACACTACATACTGATATACACCTGAACATCAGCAGGAGAGGACTCTTTAAAGTAGAGACACTACATACTGATATACACCTGAACATCAGCAGGAGAAGACTCTTTAAAGTAGAGACACTACATACTGATATACACCTGAACATCAGCAGGAGAAGACTCTTTAAAGTAGAGACACTACATACTGATATACACCTGAACATCAGCAGGAGAGAACTCTTTAAAGTAGAGACACTACATACTGATATACACCTGAACATCAGCAGGAGAGGACTCTTTAAAGTAGAGACACTACATACTGATATACACCTGAACATCAGCAGGAGAGGACTCTTTAAAGTAGAGACACTACATACTGATATACACCTGAACATCAGCAGGAGAGGACTCTTTAAAGTAGAGACACTACATACTGATATACACCTGAACATCAGCAGGAGAGGACTCTTTAAAGTAGAGACACTACATACTGATATACACCTGAACATCAGCAGGAGAGGACTCTTTAAAGTAGAGACACTACATACTGATATACACCTGAACATCAGCAGGAGAGGACTCTTTAAAGTAGAGACACTACATACTGATATACACCTGAACATCAGCAGGAGAGGACTCTTTAAAGTAGAGACACTACATACTGATATACACCTGAACATCAGCAGGAGAGGACTCTTTAAAGTAGAGACACTACATACTAATATACACCTGAACATCAGCAGGAGAGGACTCTTTAAAGTAGGACACTACATACTGATATACACCTGAACATCAGCAGGAGAGGACTCTTTAAAGTAGAGACACTACATATTGATATACCCCTGAAACATCAGCAGGAGAGGACTCTTTAAAGTAGAGACACTACATACTGATATACACCTGAACATCAGCAGGAGAAGACTCTTTAAAGTAGAGACACTACATACTGATATACACCTGAACATCAGCAGGAGAGGACTCTTTAAAGTAGAGACACTACATACTGATATACACCTGAACATCAGCAGGAGAGAACTCTTTAAAGTAGAGACACTACATACTGATATACACCTGAACATCAGCAGGAGAGGACTCTTTAAAGTAGAGACACTACATACTGATATACACGCTGAACATCAGCAGGAGAAGACTCTTTAAAGTAGAGACACTACATACTGATATACACCTGAACATCAGCAGGAGAAGACTCTTTAAGTAGAGACACTACATACTGATATACACCTGAACATCAGCAGGAGAGAACTCTTTAAAGTAGAGACACTACATACTGATATACACCTGAACATCAGCAGGAGAGGACTCTTTAAAGTAGAGACACTACATACTGATATACACCTGAACATCAGCAGGAGAGGACTCTTTAAAGTAGAGACACTACATACTGATACACCTGAACATCAGCAGGAGAGGACTCTTTAAAGTAGAGACACTACATACTGATATACACCTGCACATCAGCAGAATAGGGCCCCTTTAATGTGTCGTCACTGTGTCTTTATTACATGATTAATAATAACTAATTATAAGGATCAGATGTGTTTTAAATGAGCATATCTCTCCACACCTCTTTTCTCCCTTCCTCTCTTTTACTATACTACTTCTACTTCCTTTCATACTGTACCATCTCTCCTCTTCCTCTCTTCCTCCCTCATCTCTCTCATTTATTCTTCTTTAGTCTCCCTTCGCTGTCAGTCTGTTGAGGCTATAAATAGATCAGCTGCTGGCACACAGTCTGTATCCACACACACACACACACACACACACACACACACACACACACACACACACACACACACACACACACACACACACACACACACACATACACACACACACACACACACACACAGGTTTTTTGTCTGTCTCTCTGCGTCACTGCAGAGCTGAGCTTCCTCTGCATTTTTATTTCATCCTCTCCTCTTCCTCACCTTTCAGTTCTCTGTTCAGGTTTCAGGTTTTAATCGTTGTTTTACTGAAATCACGATTGTATTTAGATCTAATTTCAAATAACAATAACTCATATAAGCAACGATGTGTTGAGACAACAGGAAGTGCAGACGGCCCGTACACACAGCGGCGTGCGTTGAAGCTTCCAACGCTTCTGCCCGTTCACTTTGAATGGGGTGACGTCACTTTTAGCTGAACTGCATTTTGGGAAGCGACGTGGAGCGTTGCTCGCTTCAAAAGTTGAGCAATGTTCAACTTTTGGCGCCTCGGCAGAAGCGTCAGCCAATGAAATCCCGTTTATGCAAATATGCCAGTACAAGCACTAGCCAATCAAACCGCGTGTATGCTGGGAGAGACTACGCAGGTCCATCCATCCATCCATCTTCTCCCGCTTATCCGTGGTCGGGTCGCGGGGGTAGCAGTTCCAGCAGAGAGCCCCAAACTTTCTTTTCCCTGGCGACATCAACCAGCTCTGACTGGGGGATCCCAAGGCGCTCCCAGGCCAGCGAAGAGATATAATCCCTCCACCTGGTCCTAGGTCTACCCCTTGGTCTCTTCCCAGCTGGACGTGCCTGGAACACCTCCCTAGGGAGGCGCCCAGGTGGCATCCTAACTAGGTGCCCGAACCACCTCAACTGGCTCCTTTCGACGCGAAGGAGGAGCGGCTCAACTCCGAGTCCCTCCCTGATGACCGAACTTCTCACCTTATCCCTAAGGGAGACACCAGCCACCCTGCGGAGAAAACCCATCTCGGCCGCTTGTATCCGCGCATACTACGCAGGTCATTTCCTCATATTCCAAAAAATTGAGGGAAAATTCATTATAGCGGTAGTGAATCACCCGGTGCTGTATGATCAGTCTCTGTTCATCTACCGGGATACAAACCGGAGGAGCGAGGCATGGAGGGAGGAGGCAGAGACAGTGGGTGAAACTGGTAGGTTTTCGCCTGTTTGGGGATTTTATATCCAGTTTACTTCGTTTTAACATTGCTATTGCTTTGTATGTCGGGGGCGGGAGATTCATGTGATTGGTTGTTGGTCGCAAAAAATCCCCAAGCTTCAGACACGACCAGCTTCAAGCGTCAACGCACGCTGCTGTGTGGACGCTCCGTCAGACTACATTTAATTTGAGTTGGATGTTAAAGATCTTTAACTTAACAGAAATGTATTGAAACAACATAAATGTTTTTGCATAACTTTTGAAAAACTGTCAGTAAATGAAATACATTGAACTTGAATATTCAGCTAAAAGACATGGAGCGTGTATTTTTTCCCCTTTCTCTAAATAAACTAATGATAACACATCCATCTCTTTCTCTGCATATATTATCTGTTCCTCCTGATGCAGTTAATCTAATTAACACCAGGGGCTAATGTGTTGCAGCGTGGCGTTCACTGTCACTAGTGATGCAGGTGTAAATGTGCTGTGAGTGATGAGGCGTTCAGAGCTTATTTACAGTTGAATTCTGTGACCTTTTTAAAATGAAACGGTTATATATAAACATTGTAATAAACTCTCCTTCATGAAGTTTCTGTTCGTTCACCCCTACACTCATTTTGAAAGATGCAGTCTGCTTTAATTTTGTTAAATTGACATACCGTGAAGTTATATATAACATAATGTTATGTAAAATATAATATAACCCTCACATAAGCTGGGCTTCCACTACCGCTTACTTTTATTACTTCGTCAGCTTCATTATTTCATTTTTGTTCTTTAAATTCACTGAAATATTAGTAAATTACGTTGTAAATTGCCTGATACCAGAGTGTTAAAAACAGCAATAAAATATGTTGGTTTTATTAAACTAATTATAAATATTCTTAAACAGTTAAAGTTTGACATTTTCTAATCAGATATCTCAAAAGAGTCCTTCATTAGTCCCTCAGCAGGGAGATGTGGAGCTTTGCATCAGCAGGAGGGGATTATGCAAAAACAAGAAGCATCAGTGAAACAGCTAAATATTAAAAGGTCATCCTGAGCTGTTAAATCTGATCTAGTTGTTTAATCACAACAATTTCTAATGAAATGAAGTTCAACCAATACTTACATTAAATATAGGGGAATAGAGTGATGGCGTATTTTTGTGGGCGACCCGGAAGTCTCAACAACAAACTATGGGATTTTTCCATTGGATTTCAGAATATTGCAGAAAATCTGATCCGTGGCGTTTTGTTCAAAAGTATAAAAAGATAACTTCAGGCTATAGGAACTACAGCACGGTCAAATGACTTCACATCACCACCGCTAAGCTAAAGGAGGCTAATGTTTGGGCTATAAAGGAACTACAGCACTACAGTTTTGGTGAGTAACACGAGTGTAATGTGTAACGTTAATGTACGCGACTCTGGGATTTGTAGTCTTTCTAGTCTTTTCATAGTCGTATATTTCAACAGTTTTAAGACAAACTGTGACTTTTTTGACAATGGAAATTATTTTTTAAGATTGACAAACATCATATGTGTAATTCATGGCACAATTCAAACGGGATCGAAAGATACATTTTCTCTCTCCATTGACTTCAATACATAATTTTTCAGAAATAAGGTCCCATGGGGCGGAAGTAGATGGGCGGGACTTCGCCACTCTATTAAAGAACTACAGCACGGTCACATGACTTCACGTCACCACCGCTAAGCTAAAGGCGGCTAATGTTGGGCTATAAAGGAACTACAGCACGGTCACATGACTTCACATCACCACCGCTAAGCTAAAGGTGGCTAATGTTGGGCTATAAAGGAACTACAGCACAGTCACATGACTTCACGTCACCACCGCTAAGCTAAAGGCGGCTAATGTTGGGCTATAAAGGAACTACAGCACGGTCACATGACTTCACGTCACCACCGCTAAGCTAAAGGCGGCTAATGTTGGGCGTGAAAATATCTTCAGCTTGTTTTAACCACAGACCTTTTTTCAGGCATCGAACCAAAAACATTAAAAAAAATGCTGACTATTGTAAGGGTTTTTGAACTCATTCCAGCACCTCTTCATTAGATGTTTCCCTCCAACCAGATGTCTTTTTAATTACCTCAGAGTTTTTAATTGTAAGCATTAACACAAGTTTTTAAGTTAATTACTCACAAAAGTTAAGTTGTTACAATTTGTGTTTACAGATTAGTTTCATTTGTGTTATCAGATTTCCTATGATGTTTAAACTTTTCCATGTTTTTGATCATGTATAGTGTGTTTTTGCTCCGAGGATATGATTCATCACTAAACTGTCATGAGACCACACAATACACGCCATCACAGTGTTAGTACCGGTGTTGTGGTGACATTACACCGCCTTGTGTTGATTGTTTATTTATTTATATAACAGGGACAGTGCACATTGATTGACATTTCTGTAAATGCACCAGAGTTAGCCAACAGGCTATTTTTCGTCTGTAGTCCCTGGACAGATGTTAAAAGTCATCCTAAAAACAAAAATTCACTTCAAATAACAGGTAAATAGAATCAGTAAAACAACATTCAACAGAGATACTTATATTATGATAAAAGCATATATAAAAACATAAAAACTAAACTAAATTTGTATCGTCACACAGATACAGATCTGATGAGTATTTTTTAGCTCGTCAATTGTCAGTTCTTTGGTTTGGGGCTGTTCGCTGTCTGCAGCACAGACGGAGGGGAAGTCACCATGTGAGAGGACTGAACCCCAGGAGAGGGGGGGGGGGGGGGGGGAGAGGGGGGGTGACGGAGCAGGTGGGACTGAAAGAATCAGGGTGGAAAATATGCTGATGGAGGCAAGAGTGAGTTTATTTTAGAAATGAGGAACACAGCAAAGTTATCAGGCCAAAAAAGACATTTATATTTATGATGATGAAACACAAAACTGCGCTTCCTGTAAGTCTCACTTAAAAAAGTATTTTCTACCTCTACAAAAAATACGATCTAAAAATGTCTTTAATATATATTTTTTTAAGCTTTCTATAACATCTGTATTCATCTATTATAACATCTGTTACAGTTAATGTGGTCAACATCCTTTAAAACATCTGTAAGATCAGAAACAGTTTACAACATAATAATAGATTCAATTTGTATAGCGCCTTTCAAGAAGGCTTGTTTTAAGAAACATCTACCTAATGTGTCCTTTTCTATAACATTGTCATCTACAGTGTGACTGAATCTGAATTAATCAATAGTTAGAACTATACAAACACATTTTCTAGCTTGTTTCTCAGCTGATTTGATTAAAAACAAATACATGTGTTTGAGGATGAGGGAGAGACAGATGGAGAGAAAGGAGGACGATGATGACGGAGGAGAGGAAAGGACGGAGCAGGTGGGAGGGATGGATGGAAAACTGACTAACAGATGCTGGACGAGGACAAATCTGGACCACACACACACACACACACACACACACACACACACACACACACACACACACACACACACACACACACACACACACACACACACACACACACTGGAGTTAATCTGCAGCAGGCTAACAGTCTGGCTTCGATTCAGTTTCCATCTCAACTAAAGACACACACACACACACAGTCACATACACACACACACACACACACACACACAGTCACACACATACACACACACACACACACACACACACACACACAGTCACACACATACACACACACACACACACACACACACACACACACACACACACACACACACACACACACACACACACAGTCACACGCATGCATACACACACACACAGTCACACTCATACACACACACACATATTTTTGTATTGGATTTTGGAATATTACAGAAAATAAGATCTGTGGCAAACACATGTTTATGATACTTAGACATTTTGTTCAAGGGGGTTATCTTGACATACTAATAACACTTTACGATGTTTGAAGTAAAAAGCTAACGTTAGGCTATAAAAAGAAACTACGTCACGGTCACATGACTTCACATGACCACCGCTAAGCTAACCAGATGTAGTTTAAACAGCAACTGGTTCGTCTAAACGATTTAAAATAATTTAAGCTACTCTACATCAGTCCAAACCAACTGTCCAAACAACTGTTCTGTTTAAACTACCCCCCCTTACTTTTCCCTCTGTGCAGATTCGTTGGACGAAGACGGCGGGCGGAGCTTCGGATCGTCAGGGCGACCCGACGCTGCAGAACGAAACTCTGAAGATCACGAACATCAGCCGTCACCAGGGGGGGCGCTACTACTGCAAGGCTGAGAACGGACTGGGGTCCCCCGCCATCCGGTCCATACGGGTCGACGTCTACTGTGAGAACACACAGCAAACACATCTTAGATTAGTGTAAAGACAGGAAGTAGATGCACACAGTTCACTTTACATAAAGACTGGAGACAGGTGAAACAGTAGTGAGCTAAACTCAGCATTAACACTGGAGACAGTCCTTTTTACAGACAGGTTGAAAACAGATAGATTTTCTTATTAAAAACACTGAACATGTATGGCTCTAGCTTAATAATAATAATAATACATGTTATTTATATAGCGCTTTTCCTGGTGCTCAAAGCTTAGTCTGAAGACTTGAGAAACAGTTCACTTATCTTTGCATTAACACTGGAGACAGGGTGAAACATTTAGCCTAGCAGCAAGACTACATTTTGTTTCTGCTCAAAGTTAAAGCTTCATCAGAAACGGTGGGACTAAGTGGATTTAACCCCAGTTTAAGTCGTAGTCGGAGCTCCTGGTGGATTAAAGAGCATTCATACCTTCCTGCTGTTGTTTCTAGCTGATGGTATTAAACCCTCGTCCTGACCTAAATGGGTCCCCGTCACACGTGACAAACTCTTTCAGTTGTTGGTGCCACTCACTCGTGTCTGATTGTTGCTGACCTACATGTGTGGAGGCGAAGCATCGAGCCCCTGGAGCTCTGCTAGCTGAGGATCACAGCATGAGAGGCCATGTTTCACCTTCATGTTTATCACTGCTGCCAGGATGCAGAATCCCAGTAATCCCAGTAAAGGAACGTCTTCGGGGTGTTTTCTACACAGCAGCGCCTCATGTGTGCTGAAGTTTCCTCCAAAAGTAACAAACAATACCCGCAAGCTTTGAGCGTTGTTGTGTAACAGCCATAATATCCTGGAGGATGTTTCTACTGGGATTGTAAGTGGTACCTGAACGCATCGCGGCTGAGTGCTTTCTTCAGGGCATGGAGGCTTTTACATGAAACTCCAGGAGGAAACAGAATAAATCATGAACACAGCCGACCTGCAGCACGTACAGCAGATTGTTTACTGTCTGTTTTCGTTTTTGGGGCTGCGATGCGTTCACTGTGCAGGTCGGAGGTGGCTCTGTGTGAAGTATATTAGCAACCATTAGCCTCTCGGCTGGTGGCGGCTTCACAACCGGACTCGTTAACGCTGCAGATCCTGATTGGTCAGCATCTGATCGGGGATCTCACCGTGTTTCCAGACAATTAAAAAGACCCCGGCTCTGCAGTAATTACCCCCACTGCAGGAACACTGACCCACTGGATGGAAAATATGAAAATCTATAAATTCAGTAGATCTAACTTCAGCTGTTCTCACTGTGTTTCCTCGGGGAGGACGTTTTATATATTTATATCTGTGGCTCAGAAGGTGGTAAATGAATTTACAGTGAATCAAGGCTACACCCGTCGTGACAAACATCCAGAAGAGTCTCTCCAGGCTGGATCCTGCAGTCACATTTACACGACTCAGCAAAACACCAACTAATGCAAGTAGAGCTAAATTAGGCAGATACACACTGAACGTTAAAAGTGAGCCCTGAGATTTGTTAATCTCCTTCAACACAAACCTCTCGACACATCAAAGGATTACTGAACGAGGCTACCGGGCTCTGACTCACAAACATTTAAAGTGACCCCAGAAAGAGTCCCGAAAACTTCTCCAAAGGGAAGCCAAACAACCACAAAGAGATGGAAAGCTGACCCAAGGGATGAGAAACGACCAAACAACAGAAAGATACGCTAAAAGGCTCCAAAGAGATGGAAACGTCTCAAAGGACAAATGACCAAAAAGTGACAGAGTTGCAGAATCACTCAATATTTTGACAAATGTTATTTCGTTATGCTTGAATATCAATTATACTTCAGATCCTTTTTGATCGTATTTTAACATAAATATATTCCCTCTTCTCTTCTCCATCAATCTCCATCTCTTTCCCCTCTTCCCTCTCTATTCCTCCTCCTCCTCCTCAGTCCTGGATGACCCTATGATCACGGTGCATCAGAGCGTGGGTGAATCGAAGGAGCATTTCTACTTTGAGCGCACGGTGTTCCTGCGCTGCGTGGCGACCTCTAACCCCCCGGTGCACTACAGCTGGAGGAGGGGCCGGGAGGCGCTGACGCAGGGCTCCGACGCCGGGGTGGAGATCTACGAGCCCTTCTTCACTCAGGTGAGGAGACATTTCATTGATATAGCATACTTCAAAAACAACGGCATCTCAAGGTGCTTCAGGTGAGGAACCCCCCCCCCCCCCTCCCCTCCCTCTCCCTCTGAGGGCCGGACAGAGGTTACACAGATTCATATTCGTATTGCACGTTCAATCATTGTGGTTTAAAGCCAGTATTGAAGACGGTTGTTATTTTCTTTTCTTATTTTTACAATTCTTCATTTAGAAGACAGTTGAGGACATTTCACCAGTTATAATGAAATATACTTGCAGTTACAGGAAGTAGTAGACATTTTCAATAAGGGAACAGTATACATTGAAACCCTCTCTTATACAATGTTCATGAACTTAATACAATAACAGAAGGGAAACAGTTGTTATTGTCTATCACCTGTCAGGACCTCGCCACACACTGATGAACCCAAACGCACGACCCAGAGACAAAGGCTTGAATATAAAAAAAGGTATATTTATTTTTCACAGCGCAGGTAATCCCTCTTAACAGATCGGGTGGTGGAAATAACAAAAGGCGCTCACAAGGAGGAAAAAACTAGCGTAACAAAAAGAGAACTTAATAAAAACTTAAGCCAACAAAAAATAACAAAACCTGACATGAGAGAAAGCGATCCTTTCTGAGCTGAGGACGACCATTCGGGGAAACGAACAAGACGAACTGACACAGGACAGGGGAGAGACAGGACTATTTAAACATGAGGTGAGAGGGAACAGGTGGAAAGAATCATGGGCGGGGCAGACACTGACGATGGCGGGAAAAACACACAAGGGGAGGAAGAAACAGGGCCTGGAATGAAAGAGGTAAATACAGACAGACAAAATACATAACAATAACTAACACATTTCACGAGACACAACATCACCTTTATTCATATTATTGTTGTTATTATTATTAATTGTTTAGCCTATGAATTCTATACAGGTTTTCAGTTTATTTTAATACATTTATTTCCATTTATATATACAGTAAATATATATTGAATTTATTTTAAAATTCACAGAATAGTTTGAAATATATAATCAACTTTTCGATTGTTTTTCTGTGTTTAAAGCTGCTACAAAATCTAAATTATTTTCACTTTTATTTGAATTATTGTTAAAAAATATGATTGAATTGGATATAAACAATTATTTTTCAATTTAACTTCATATACTTATTTGCATCGCATAATATGTAATACTTTACTTTATTAAATATAAATAATATCTTTAACCTATTATTATTTTTCCATTCAATTGTTTAAAACATTTTACTTTGTTTACCAGACAAGTTTCTTTGATAAAACAGAATCTTTCTAAAGACTTTCCTGACACAGTTTGAGTTATGCAATCACAGAGACATTACTTCAGAAACCCTCAAAGACATTTCGTCTCTCCACTTTTTCAAAGTCATTTCCAAAACTGTCATCCCAGCGCTCGTGAGACTGGAACTATTTTTATCTGTCGGCATCACGGTGTTTCATATTTAGCTTCACTAACTTCCTATTATTATATTTACCTTTTAACTATTATCCAAAACGCCTCATCACGATTCCTGCTTTGTGTCTGAGAGTGACGCCCCCCTCTCCCCCGGGCTGGACCTCCATCAGTGAAAATACTCAGTTTAGCTCTCAGTGGGAGACTTCATTATCAAGGCGTCGGTCCATCAGCTCTCGCTAAAAATAGTTACAAGTTCTGATGTTTGTCCAATTTTTGCTCCACACAGACGTCCCAATCTACACCTCAGGTTCACTTCCATGATGTGTTCATAGATGGATTCCTCACATTTGTATCTTTAAAGGATCTATATATAACATATCTATTGTTATGTCATAAATCCAATTTTAGGAACAATTAAGGTTTCATGAAGTAGAAGGAGGAGATGGAGGAAAGGAGGGAATGGATAATGAAGACATGTTTTTTTACTTACGAATAAAAAGGAAGAAAAAAAAGAATATTTAATTTATATCCAAATGTGACAACGTTTATTTTTAGCGCTCTTTTTTCCTTATTCCTCAGAGGAGGGTCAACATGTCTTTAACACACATCATACCTTTATGTTTTTTATCAATATGTTATTGATTTTCAGCTTACACAAAATCACATACATAGGACGAAGACATAGAGCCAAAAGCAATACATATATACACAGGACAACTACTTTACTTTACATTAAAGAAAAATAACAACACTAAATTAAATTGGTACATACCACTTCTTCTTTCGTGTAACGTTAGAGGTCCAACACGGTGTCGTGTAGCCATGCCCGCATCTCTGGTCCTAGGTCGAAGAGGCTGGCTTCCGAGGGTGGTCTATATAAGGGGCAGATGGTGATTATATGGACAGCGGTCTGCTCAGGGTCACCGCACTCGCATGCCGCACTGTCCGCCAAGCCCCACGTCTTCATCGATGTTTTAAAGCGACTGACCCCAGTTCGTAGACGGTTCAGAGTGGTCCACTGCCGGCGCGGAAGGTCGTCTCCTCCAATGGCGCCATCTCCTGGGTCCCAGATGTAACGGTGGATTCGGGAGGGCCCGGCTGACTCCCACTCCTGCTTCCAAGCTGCTGCAAAACATGCATCTCTGGAGATGTCCTCAGAGGTGGAGTTGAGCATCTCTTGAGCTGCTTTGTTGTAGGGGTGGCGGGACTTGAGTCTGCTTGGAGGTGCTGGTGTTATTGTGGTGTTGTGCAGGATGTGCCAGTCATACTTTTGTGCCTTCCTGGCCAGGGCGAGGGTGGCAGCCTCCCGTCGGAGGCCGGCCGGTGCTATTCCTGCGAGGACTGGCAAGAGGGACACAGGGGTAGGCTTTAAGCATCCAGTATTCGGAGGGAGGTATTGATAGCCACGTCGACCTTTCTCGCATGAGGGCTTCTGCTCCAGACTGGGGCGCAGTATTCCGCTACAGAGAAGACCAGGGCTTGAGTGGATATTCGCAGTGTCTTAGCGGAGGCTCCCCAGGTTGTTCCAGCAAGGCGGCGGATCAGCGCGACCCTGGATGTCACCTTGGCCTTGACTTCTTCCAGGTATTTTTTAAAGGATAATGTCCGATCCAGACGCACTCCAAGATACTTCGGGGCTTGCTGGACCTCCAGACATTTGTTGTCGACGCGCACCTCAAGTTCCCTCCTGGCTTCTCTGGTGCTAAGGTGGTATGCCGCTGCGACTGTTTTTCCGACGCTGAGCTGTAGACGCCACCTTCGGAGGTATGCTACTAGTGTGCCCATGTCTTCGTTAAGACCCTCTTCCATCGCCTTCCACGTTGGTCGGCTCAGCATGATGGCAAGATCGTCTGCGTAGCCATACTTTCTGGATGCTGTATCAGGTAGGTCGTGGATGTAAACATTGAACAGCATCGGCGAGAGAACAGACCCCTGCGGTACCCCGTTCTTCAGTCTTCTGAGCCTACTGCACTGGCCACTGCTGGTCTGGAGGATGAAGCTACGGTTGGAAAGTGTCTCCATGATGAACTTCACCATGTGGCGGTCCGGTATTGTCCTCAGCAGCTTCAGGTGGAGTCCCCGGAGCCACACGGTGTCATATGCAGCAGTCAGATCCAGGTACACTACCCCAGTTTTCTCATTGTCCTGGAAGCTGTCCTCGATGTCCTGACAGAGTAGTGTTACCTGGGGCCTCATGTATAACGCCGTGCGTAGGATTCACGTGGGAAGGTTGCTTACGTAGTAGAAATCTGAAAAATAGGTCCATACATTTTCCGCCACTTCCCAATTCACCAAACATTGCGCACCGGCGAGGAAAGTGCGTACAGCACTTCCTACGCCGGTTTCCCTTTATAAATCACAACCGACTCGAAATGCGGTGTAGCTTTTGCGGGGTTCACGTAACGCCCATATTTGCCTATAAATAGTCAAAGAAACGCCCATTCATTCATTCATTCATTCATTCTGACTGACTGACTGCATGAAGAAGATCGCAGGAAATGACGACAGAACAGCTAAAAAAGACATCTCACACCGTGTCAGATTCTGGTTATTTTGGGGAGGTCGAGATAAATCATATTGTTTGGTGGATGCCGTTTGAACCAGAGTAGGGGCATGGAGGTCGGATCGTCACCAAAATAAATAAATAAATGGCCCGAAAAAGGTTAATGACAAAAACAATACACATCCTTCCTCAGGCAGTGTGTTTGTACCGGGGACAGGAGACCCCCCTTGACTCCACTTCGAGCGTTAGAACGATTAACGAAGCACTTTTATACTAATAAAGGACTGGCTTATCTAAAGCCAGTTGAGTAGCACTTGAAATGTTTGGCTCTATGAAACCTGATGTACTTATATGATTCTGTTTTCTTCAAGGTTGTGTCTTCCTGGTCGAATGCACTTATTGTAAGTCGCTTTGGATAAAAGCGTCAGCTAAATGCAATGTAATGTAATGTAATGATGAGAGACTGTAAGAAGTGAACGGGGAATCCCCCCGGTGTGGAGTCATGACGACTGGATCTGAATTATTTGTTTGTATTAGTATTTGGTGGTTTGTGTCCCAGCTGTCGATCAGCTGTGCGCAGTGTCTCCACTGCAGCCTGTGCGTCTCAACCCCCCCGCAGCAACCCTATATCCACCAGTTAAAGGAAATACAACTAATGTGTTGTGTTATATTAGCTGTACAATTGACCACACATGGTGTTCTTAGTTTCCATACCTCCTGTGTTTTACGAGCGACTTATCAAGTCTTGGCAAACGGCATAAAACATGATTAAACGTGATAGTATATAAAACCATGCTCATATCAACCTATAGAAATGCAACACGGCGTCAGTTTAAAGTAATTCTGTCCTCCTGCTTACCGCATCATTTATGAGAAAACATTTCATAACATTAACACAACATATTCGAGGTGGTTTTAAATAACATATCCGTATTTATTTATTTCTCCAAGTTATGTGTTTGTGTGCACTGAGGAGTCTCTAACAGGCATTTGTTTAATCATTTTAAGATTGGCTTTAATCAATGTTTGAACATGAATTCTTCATATATGATAAATGAGAGGTAAC